CGCGAAGCCCTGAACTCCCCCCCAGCTTCCGTCACCAGTGCGCTGAGTGCCCTTGGGTTCATCGCTCCCTGCCTCAGCACAATAGCAGTCATGAAGCCTGCCTCCCTGGGCTGCTGTTAGGACTGAGCATTATTCTTTTCCTCAATAACAATAAGCACCTGATGCGCTCAGCTTCAGGACAGATCTTTAGCTCACAGGTGGTCACACTGGGCCAGGCCACAGCCATCTCTTCCCTAGCGCACGTCAGTCAGAGCCAGGCATAAGCAGCTTAGGAGGCACGTGTCTCCGCGGTGTGCCACTAACTGCAGAACGGGAGTCTGATGTCTTCTCTCTGCTAACCTCTCTCAGTGCAGGATGGGGGAAGCACAGGGAGGGGTGCTGGGAGGCTGTTGGTGATACCTGATGAGGGGGCAGAGGGACAGCTGAAAGAATGGAAAATCTCTTCACAGGTAACATATTCCTTCTGAGTGACCCTTTGAGTCTATCACCTCCTTGCTGTGCTATATCCATTGAGACATTGATTTTGAAGACTAGCAGGTCCCATTAGACCATTTAGTCCAGCAGTTCTCAAACTGTGGGGCAAGATCCCAACATGCCTTGGGACCAGGTTTTAATGGGGTTGCCAGGGTTATCATCAGGCTTGCGTAGGCCCAGTGGCAAAGCCAAAGCTCAAGCCCCAGCAGCACTGCCAGGGCTCAAAGCCCAAGTGTCACTGCCTGGGGCCAAAGCAAAAAGCCCAAGGGCTTCAGCGCAGGGTGGCAGGGCTCAGGGTACAGATCCCACCCTTTCACCTGTGGTAGACACTCTTAGGCTTTAGTTTTCCCCCACCAGGCTTGGAATTGCCCACCCCCATGCACCCGGGGTACTGGGGCTTGTATGGGCTCAGGCTTCAGTCCCCATCCTGGGGCCACGTCGTAGATTTTGTTGTCAGAAGGGGATCACAGTGCAATGAAATTTGAGAACCCCTGCTTTAGTCTGACCCCCTGCCCAACACCGACTAGAGAATTTCAGATAGTTACTACTGTCATGATCCCAGGAGTGTTCTTGACTAAGGCATAGCTTCCAGAAAGGCGTGGTTTGAAGACTTCAAGAGATGCAGATCCCTCGGCAGCTTGTCTGCTCCCACCCAGGGTTTATCATCCTGGCTGTTAAAACTGCTTGCCTTATTGTTCGTTGGAACTGGTCTGACGTCAGCTTCCAAACACTGGTTCTTTGGAAAGAATGTTTTAGTGCTGGCTGATGGTGTTGGATTGAGGAGAAAGAATTGATTCACCCCTGAATCGAGTACCCTGTGCAATAGCATGCAGGCTCCTTGTAGTTTAAGCACCAGGTGCCTCTCAACCCTGACCTGAAAAGAAGGACAGTTCATCCTCCATGATCCATTCAGCTCTTGGCCAATCTGCCGAGACTATCAACAAAGGGTCCAGTAGCAGAGCTAGGCCTTTTATATGGACTCCAGACTGAGTCCCACTAACACATCCACGTCCCACCCTTACCTCTTTTTTTCTAAAATCCAGTCGTTTCAGCAAGGAAATAAAATACTCACATTAAGGGCACCACACTGAAGTCCTTTTGCTGGCAAAATGCCTACTGAGGCCAGCAGGCATTTTGCCCATGTAAGGACAGCAGGATCAGATGTTAAGCATTTAAATCTGATTATGTACAATACCCATTGGTGCCTGAGAGGTTAGAAAATTTGATCAGCTAGAGTGAAATGATTTGTTTAGCTGAAAGGAGAGAACATTTGGTGATCAGGCAATCCAGCAGCAGGCAGCCAATGGACAGAGTCTGCGAATGCAACAAGTCATGGCTTGGTCTGTTTTCCAGCTTTCTGATCCTGTCTTAACTTTCTCTATTAGAAAATTCCTTATATTAATTCCCATAATCAATGGAAGAGGCCAGATGTCTCCTTCAGTCATCCCAGAGGTGGTGTGGACATGCCTTGGTAGTTGGACCAAGTGGGCATCTGCTATCAATCAGTATCGTTCCAATCAATGTCATCCCACTGACTTACACCCGTGAAGGGTATGGCCCTTCAAGTAGTCCATTTGCTGCTGTGTAACTGTGCTGCTTCTCCAATGGCCCTAGAATGAAATATCTGGTGATCAAATATGTTCTGATGGACCTCTAAGCATGGTGAATGTATGATTTCAGGCAGCACCTCCATGATGAACATGAAAGCATCGGCAGCTATGTGGCTCATAGTGAATGGGACACAAAGCATACACATACACTGGGTTGTCATCTTCAAGTTACTAGGTCACAGAATACTTTAGGAGTATCAGAAATAGTATGTTTTATTGGCAATTTCCGGTGAAATAGGAAAAATAGATCTGCAAAGTTACTGAACAATTTATCTTCCTCCTTTTAATTTTCTCTAAGGAGTGAGAGGCAGAGAAATCCAGTGCCGCGTGAATGGAGGTGAACTGACACAACAGCCTCTCACCGCTGCTGACAAACTGGTGATAGAAAATCCAACAAACCAGTACAGAAATAACAGCCCCAAAACAGAGGATACCAACTGGCCACTGTCAGTAACTCAGCAAGCAATGAGCATCCTCATATCCAGCATGTATTCTTCTGGGCTGCCATCAGGAGCGGCCCTGGACTAGATGCCGGCAACTGGTGCCCTAAGCGAATCATGCAACCGGTGTATTACGCCACCATTTGGCGCCCCATTTTGCCGCATTTAACTTGGCACCCTAGGCGACTGCCTAGTTTGCCTATATGGACGGGCTGCCCCTGGCTGCCAGAGCTCTCTGATGTGCTTTGATGAGCCACTGCAGTAACAGTCCAAACTGTACTGCTTACGCAGACCCTGATTTTGCAGT